GCGGGCGGGCCGGGCCCGGGGGGCGGCCCGGGAGAGCCGCGGCAAGCGGGTCTGGCGACCACGGCGGGTCGTGCGGGAGCCTGCGTCCGCAGGGCGCGGGGCCTGTGGCGCTCTCTTCTGAGGTGCGTGTTGCAGCGTGAAGCTCTGCTCTGTCCCAGCGCCCCTTTTCTCTGCTCCGCCTGCCGCCCGGGGAGCCGCCCTGTCTCCTCGGCGTCATGGGAGGTGATCTACGGGAGTGCACGTGGGCCCCAAGCAGCACCGTTTGCTTGGCGGGTGACGCTGGAACCGCTGTAGAGAGCACCTTGCAAAGCACCAACTTTCCCTTGTTTCAAGAGAGAGGGAAAAAGAAAGAAAAGCAAACCAGTTCTTGTTCAGAAAGCACCGCTGGACACCAGTTCTAGGGGAGAGTTTGGGATCTTTGGTGTAAAATAGTATAAAATTAAGAACAGGGAGCTGAAGGATTCATTGCATACTTACTTCGGAAAACTTAAATTGTACAGAGATGTATGCAGTAAGGCTGTGTGTGGTTACCGACGTGCAGATAGCGTGCGTGTGTGTGTGTTATACACACCATCGTTAACACAGTGATCTCTCTTTATCCGTGGCGATACTGATACAGCTGTTCAACTCTCATCCTGGCATATCACCGCGTACTAGTGTCTGCAGTTAGTACATAGATAAGAGGTATTGTGTGCATCCATGGTCTGGCCCAGTGCTCCCCACCCCGCGTGGTGCGCTCCCAGCACTGCAGCACGAGGAGCGGCGCCGCGGAGGGGAAACGAACCCGCTGCTCGGTGCTGCCCTCCGGTGGTCCCGTGTATTAAAGTCTCTCCTCTGAGGTGGGTGTTGAGCTTGAAGCTCTTTGTCTGCCCAGTGTCCCTTTTCTCTCCTTCTCCCTCGTGGGAAGCCACCCTGTCTCCTCGATGTGCCGGCAGGGTCTTGTTTTCTCTGCCTTTAAACCCCAGCTGCTCCGCGCAGGGTGAAGCGTCACGGAGCCGGCTTTGCTCCAGGTCGGTATGTGCGGGCTCCAAGCCCCGCTCCAGCCCCAGGCGGCAGCGCGGAGCCGCCTTGGGTGCCCGTCCGGGTCTCGCGCCGGCCCGTCTCCCCCCGCCGCAATGCCCGGCGCGGCCACAGGAGGGCGGCTCTGAGCCCGGCTTTGTCTCTCCCTTAGTGTTAAGACAAACCCGGCTCAGTGCTGCCCTCTGGTGGTGCGCTCCGAGAGCTGCAGCCACGGGGAGCCGCGCCGAGGCGGGGAGGCGACTCCGCTGCTCGGTGCTGCCCTCCGGTGGTCCCGTTGCGGCATTGACGCAGCGGGTGAAGGCGGAGACCAATCAGAGCTCAGACCCGCCCTCCTGTGGCCGCGCCGGGGATTGCGGGGGGGGGGGGCCCCCCGGTTGGCATGTTCTTTCGGCCACTCGGTACCTCCCATGCAGGGTTCCTGCCCTCCTTGTCGGGGGCAGGGTATGTATTCCCTGCCCGAGTCCCTGGAGACGAGTGCCCTGCCCTTGGCCAGCCGTTCTTCTGCGCCCCCGCCCTGCAGCCTGTAAGCAGGGTCCAGGTCCCCTTGATTCTCTAGGTCCGGTCTCGTTTCTTTTCGTGAGGCTGGCCAGAGGGCACGCGAGACATAGGCATGGGTACTCTCTCTCTCTCTCTCTCTCTCTCGTCTTCTTTTCCTCTCAAAACAGTGCGGAAAAATATAGGTGCACCACACATTGTGTGGCTCTTTAAATTCCCCAGTAATAATTTGGTTCACCCAATAAATAAATTCCCCGGTAATAATGTGGTTCACACATCCTAGTTTTGGCAACATCACCTCCAGCCCAGGTACATACTTGAGTTGCGCACCCCTGGTGTAAAAGGTGGCAACCCTTTCCATACCAGATGGGACATCTTTCATAACAGGACGTTATATTCACAGCACTTCTTCCAACATATAGCACACATTAGTCTGTAAATATAAAACGCCCTGGAAAATTGAGTTTGTGCTGAACTAGGGGGGTACTTGCTACTTAAAATGTTGAGAAACACCGCCCTAACGAAAGTCGTGATCCTACTACTGTCTCTCTGGGGCTGTCTCTATCCAAAAGGGAAATAGATTGAGGTATTCACACAGCAGTATGTTTGCATATTGCTATATATTAATGGGTGCAGCTCAAACATATCCCCTAGGTATGGTGTGCACCCCTGTACAGTACTGGTGGGGAACACAGGGAAAACGCTGCTGTCGGTGCCGCCGTCCGGCGCTTCCCCCGGCGCCG